TCAGGGAACGGGTTCGCGGTTAGGATAGACATATACCTAATTGCCTTGCTTGGTTAATTTACAGGAATTATAAATGCGTTCTTGTTAGTTCTAATTCCATAGACATATAGGAGTTAGGTTAGCTTGAATAGGCGAGTAAGAACTCGACAGATTCTTATGAGCAATATTAACCCTGTTAACCAATAAACTAGATAAATTAGTTAGTCAATTCAATTGAAGAATACATTAGGAATGTTAGATAGCCCATAACCCTAGATCGTTTTCATTACATTGATATCATAAAAATCAGCTCTTTCTCTGTTCAAAGTTCATTATTTATATTTCTTAATTTAATTAGTTTAGAATCAAATATTTCTAGCTTTAATTCTTGTTTAGATAATTAAGATAGTCTAATTTAGTTAATAGTTAATCAGAAGTCCTCGTGGGTTCGACATCCGACTTTTAGTCACTTTATTACTTGACGATCGCGTATACTTGCGTGTGCGTTTGGCCGCAACAAATATATGTAAAGATATAGCTCCTCAAACAAATCAAAGATCAACCTGAACAACCATAAACATGACCATTCAGTATCTAATAAAATCACTGAATAAAAGAAAATAATCAGTTATCGTCAACCAATGGATGGTGTAGATGCAAAGTATGTCAGAAATCAGTGATATACAATTAAAAAATTAAAAAGTTTGTAAAAATGGAAAATGATAGACTTCCAATAGGATAAACTAAGTTATAATTTCAAGCCTAAGTTATAACTAGTACTTTCTATTCCGTTCTCACAAGGAACAAAAAAAAAGACTAGTACTTTCTATTGGTGGGCATAAAACCCCTAGTTTGGGTTATCAATAAGAAAACACACCTATCACCTTCAGTTGCCTTTTGCATAAAATTCTAATAGAAGCAATGTTCAGTAATCAGCCAACCTTCAGCCCTTACCTTCAACATAATCTGCCACCCCTTCATCCCCCAACCAGATCCATGTCATCATGCATTTCTATGCTACCAAACAACTTCAACAAAGATAAGGGTGAGAGACACTTATGCTGCTCGGAATGGGGTACGATGCGCTTGTTTTTTTTTCTTTCTCATGACAAAAGAAGGTAAAACAGCTTTCTTTCTTGTTTCTCTTCTCCCATCTCTTTTATTTTTTCAATTCAAATTTTCTAACCTTTCCATTGTTTTTGTTCTTTTGTATTTCCACGACAAGCATCATAGTCGAGAACATATATTGTCTATTATTCTCTTTTTTTTTTTTTTTGGTTGGGGGG